CCAAGGCGTTACCAGGTGCAGCTCCCTAAAGGCAGTGCATGGGAACTGATTGATCAGAGGTTTTTTACTTAGTTGCAATACACAGCCAACTCAATTGGAATACAATGCCTCTACTGCCCGTTTTTTTCTCTTCACAACACAGCGTTTCCATAATCAGTTTCTCAAAAAACCTTCTAAAGACATGAATGGCATCTCTCCTTTTGCGTGTGGGTACGCTGGGTACCTGAGGCGAGCGCTGCATCAGCCAGGGAACACAGGTGAGGCGATTCAGCTGTGCTGCTGGAAGGGCTGGAACCTGGCTGCACCCCTCCTAGACCTATTTAAGAGCTGGCTGCCAGGGGAAAAGGATCTCTGCTGGAGATTCTCTCTGTTGGAGTTTTGTAAGTGAGCCCAGAATACAGGTAACCTTTCTATCTATTCTCTTTTTGTTATCATAATCTGCTCTGCCTAACTCTCTTGTTTATTTCATAATTATAACATCTCAATATCATTGATTATACAGGTAGTGTGAGTTTTTCTTGATTAATGACAAAAGTATTGAGCTTTTGGGTGAGAATAAGCTGAGCAGTTTGCTGGGAGAGTTGTTCATTCATGAAGATGTAAGGGTTCATAAGAAAACCACTGGTCCTTCTAACACAGCCCTTGGGTTACTTTTATTATATTACATATATTATAGAGCTTTCTGTCTAAAGAACATGGAACAAGCTTCAAACAGAGTCCTCCTCAATGACGTACCGTCAGCCACAAGTAACAGCCAAGCTGAAAATCATATGAATTGTTCATAGCCCCTGCAGAAAGAACTCACCCTCTGTGTTGGCTTCATTCTGCTTTGTCTTTCATCTCTGCTTTGGTTCCTGAGAATTTTTTGGTCTTCCTCCTCGGATCAGCACACGCACTGAAAACAAACAAACAAAAAAATGAGAGAACCCTTCTGGGAACAAAAGATATCAAAGCAATCAGCCTCCTCACCCAACAACACTGTTCCCCACCCCCTCTCCTCCCAGACCGCATGCTGTCTTTCCCTTCTTGTCCTCCTCAAGCTCCATTTTCACCTTAAGCTTTCTAACTCTCTCCAGCCATCTGTCAGGCCAGATTTTCACACCTACCCCCCCTCCACCTCTCCCAAACCTAGGCTCCTCCCCACTGCTCCATCTTTTCCACGGCACCAGTCACTCCAGGCCCCTAATGATGGTTTACAGCAGATGTTCCCACCATGAGAAGCAAATGCACGTCAAAACAAAGTGGAAATGAGAAAGGTGAATGGCCAGCAGGCCTCGTGCTTCCACTGAGTGCTTGAGCCGGAGGACCCGCAGCCCCTGGTTACCTCCCTTCTGCTCAGCAGGCCCAATACAGCTCAGGGATTTCTGACACTCTGCTGTTCAGTGCTCACCTTCACTGCTGCAGTCACAGTGCAGCCGGTGCCAGGAGGCCAGGATGTCCTCCTCCCTTCTCTGCAGAGCTGTGTGGCCAGCCCTGCTCAGCGCTGTGTTGTGCCAAGCTGTAGCTATGGAGACTCAGTTCTGGAATCAGTGAGCAAACACACAGGTCAGCCTCACCTCTGAAAGCTACAAAAACCCCAAATGCATCCTAGGTACTCCAGCAATAGTATGAAAGCTATTTCATTTTTAATCATTCAGAACCAAACTCCCCAAAGATCCAAAGCCAATGGGATGCCTGCATTCCCACACCAGTCTGTGTGTTTGTCTTCCAGACACAACTGTCACCACATCCCAAGAGAAAGCATCCTCCCAGTTTCAGCACAGACGGAGCTGTTACTACCCAGCAGGAAATCCAGAGCAATTTCCTGACGCCGGCCCTTGATAGAGGCATTGCACGTGTTCTGCCCACCGAGCAACCCTTCCATTCCCACCACAGCTCCTCACCAGCACTTTCAAGTGCCGTTCATCACATTTTCTGTAAACCACAAGAAGAGCAGGCATCCTTCACACAACGGCACTGCTTTCCTTGGCTGTGATGTTAGCTCAAGGTGGGAGATGGCACTTTGTGGCCACACATGGAAGCTCCCCCCACGAGCTGCCCCATGAGCACAAGCCAGCAGTGGGGGCACAGAACCAGCACTGCTAAGTGTGACTGCTTTCAGTCACAGATGCACAAAGTCCCTGGTGCTGTTCTGCAATAGGAGCACCTTCCTGTGAATTCAAGGTAATGCTGGCAAGAAGACAAGCTCGGTTAAGCAACAGTTATGATGATGATTGTTCCTTTGTGCACAACTCCAATGTCCTCAAGAGCCATTAAAGCTCATAGCAGCATTATCACTGGATGACATGCTGTAATGTTACAGCTAGCTACATTCACTTAACATATACATACATATAAATTGAGAATCACAGAATCCTTAGAGTTAGAGGGGACCTTTAAAGGCCATCGGATCCATCTGCCTGCCATGAGCAAGGACACACACAGCTCCATCAGGTGCTCTGAGCCCACCCAGCCCAGCCTTGGCTGTCTCCAGCCATGAAGCATCCACCACATTTCTGGGCAACCTGTGCCAGGGCCTCACCACCCTCACGGTAACAGACTTCTTCCTTATGTCCACCCATCTCTAGGCTTGCCCACTGCTGATGGAGGCCTGGTGTTGCACCAGCAGCACCCAGATGAGCTCACGGTAACACAGATCTCTGCTTTACTTCTTTGTACCTGCAGAGCTCGGTGACCTCCGCACGGCTCGCACACCGCCTGCAGGCAGCCTAGCGTGCTAAAAAGAAACTTAGTACTTCATAAACCCTGTGTGAAGATGAAATGCACAGCGTGCTTCGCTGCCGTTACAAAATAACCCCGACACATTTCATATCGGCTTCCCAACATTCCCACGGTGGCACCAATCCGAAATCAGTCATTGAAGCAGAAAGGCACGTGTTGCTGGCACAGCTCAGGGCGGCGCGGCGAGGAGCCCGGCACCAACACCGGCACCGGCACCAACACCGGCTGCCGGCTCGGCCGCGGCGGCTCCGGGTCACCGGGGCGCGGCTCCCCGCGGCGGCGCCGGGCAGAACTCCCCGCCTTGCCGGCTGCGGGTCCCGGTACGCCGAGCCGCCCCCACCGCGAGGCACGGCCCGGGCTCGGAGCCGCGTGCGGGCGGTCCCTGCGCCGCCCCTGCTGGAGGAGCCGCGCGGCTGCGGCCCGGGTTGTTTTCCGTCCTTAATTTCAGCCGTAAAAGAATCGAAATAAGTAGGAGGCTCCGGGACGCGCCGCGTGGCTCTCAGCACCACACGAAGCCCGGAACCGCCCTCCGAGGCGGCGCGGGCCGGGGGGGGCAAAGCGGGAGGGCGCAGAAAACGACAGAGCCGCCCGGCCCGGCCGTCAGGGGCGGAGACAGCAGGCGGCGCAGCGCTCCGAAAGCGAGCGCTACGGGAGCCGCGGCCCGGCGGGAGGTGAGTGGGGGGTGCGATGGCGGCGGGGCCGGGGCCATGCGGTCTGGTCGCGGAGGCCGGTCCCAGGGCCGGGTCGTAGAGCCGCCCTTCACGCTGCCCCCGTGCCTCCCCGCGGCGGGGCCTGGCGGGCGGCGGCCCGAAGCGAGGCGGCAGCGTTGCCGTGGTGTCGCCGTGGAGTTTGGGGGTCGTGGGGTTTGGGGGCCGTGGGTTCCCCCACTGCGCTGCGCGGCGCGGAAGGGGAGGAGGCGGCGCGGCGGGCAGCCGAGTTCGGCGTTCGGTACCGTCCGTGTCGGGGGTGCGGATGTAACGGCAGCGTAGATAAAATCGTACGTTACTCAATTAATATAAAATTATTTTAAAAGTAACGTTGACGCCGTGGTTACGTGTTCAGAATTCAGAGAAGCCGAGCGTGGCGTTGGGTGTCCTTGGATGATGGAGGCGGCGCAGCAGATGGCGTCTAGGGGCGGTTGGCGCCGCTGCTGTGCGGCGTTGCTGCACTCCGCTCGGGCCGCGTTTGGAGGCCCGGGAGCGTTGTGTGCTGTGCAGGGAGAGCCGACTTACAGAGAACTGAGAGCTGGAAGGGACCTTTAAAGGCCATCCGATCCATCTGCCTGCCATGAGCAGGGACACGCACAGCTCCATCAGGTGCTCTGAGCCCACCCAGCCCGGCCTTGGCTGTCTCCAGCCATGAAGCATCCACCACATTTCTGGGCAACCTGTGCCAGGGCCTCACCACCCTCACTGTAACAGACTTCTTCCTTATGTCCAACCTAAACCTCCCTGTTGAAGTTTGAAGCCATTTCCCTTGCTCTGTCACCACAGACCCTGCTGAAGAGTCTGTCCCCTTCTCTCCTCTTGCTCCCCTTTAGACACTGAAGGCTGCTCTCAGCTTTCCCTACAGCCTTCTCTTCTCCACCTGCACAGCCCCAGCTCTTCTCACCAGCAGTGCTGTCCCCCCGTGGTTAAACGGGTCACGGTTGTGGTGCACAATGCGGAAACGCCCTCACCAGCCCCGATGTGGTGTTAGGATGCAGGCATTCTTAATTTATGATGCCTGCCCTAACCATGCCCCCCTGAACAAAAGCCCTTCAGCTGATACACCTCACTGGTCTTACCTATGCAAAAGGTTTCCTGGGAGGTACAAACATTCAGTTCTCCCTGCAAAACCATTCCATAGAGTTCCTCTCCTTGCGTGTGCTCATTGGTTTTGGGTGGGGGTCTCAAAACCCTCAGATACAAAGTAAGCAGCCTTCCTCTTCGTGACCCCGCATTGCCCTCTTCTTGGTTTTTTTTTGAGTTGCAGTTCAGAGTGCTGTACTGGAGAGGACCCCCATGCTGACCTGGATAACAGTGATGTGTGGGACTTGTTAAGCAGGAAAAGGATGTTCTGCTTAGTGTCAGAGTGCTCTGCTGACTGTTAGCTGGTTTTGTGAAAGCAGGCATTGTTCAATTAGGGATATCAGGGCTGTAAGGAAGGAGGTAGGGCACCTGGATACTTATTTCTGCCCTTGGGAGTTCCAGAAGAGCTTTCAGGGCCTGTGTGTTAGGTTTCCTTTGTGAACCTAACATTTTAGGCTACAAATGACATTAACAACAAAATGTATAGTCTCTGTTTTGGCAAAAGCTTTTCCTTTATTTTCAGGAAACACCTGCACGAGTCTGCCACCGCCCGGGCTGGCAGCGGCACTACAGGGCCCAGCATGTCTAAAGAGCTGCAGGAGCTGCAGAAGCAATGGCACTTCATCGTGCAGTCCATCCACAGCAACTCAAACGTAGGTCTGCGTGAGAACTGGGAGAACTGTCTGTGGCGCACTTCCGAAGCCGGGATCTTTACAGCTCTTGAGATGCAGTGCCCCAGTTTATCTCAGTGATGCTTTCTTTCCTTTATTTGGAAACTTGGGGCTCTCTTTCTTGAGCAAACGCTCAGGAGTGCAGGGGAAGGGCAGCCCTCCCATATCTTCAGCAGTCGAGATGAAGGGACCACTGTTCTGCACTTCTGTCTTACCAGTATAGCCATTAAGGCGGAAGAGTGGCTGTTTGGTGACATGTTTGTGCTGCTCCACAAATAAACTACAGTACGTATTTGCTTAGAGAGAAAGAAATTTCTCTTCTACGCAGAAATTCCAGTGTACAACTGCTTTAACAGAAGGGATTTGTTTCCACCTGCAGACTTACAAAAGGTGTTCCCCTGCTTCTCACTGGCGAGCTGCGGCCGCGGAGTTACGGTGAAATACAGCTGAACGCTGTTCTTCCCTCCGCAGGTCGTTGCGTTTATGAACTCCCGCCTGGGCCTGTATTTGGATGACCATCCCTTTGTTGCCTTATCGCTCCTGATGTTCATTGCAGTGTCTACTATTCCTGTGGCATTTTTCCTCATCTTTGTCATTACGACAGTCATAATGGCTTGTGTTGGTGTGATAATCATGGAAGGTATTGTATGCATGAATCTACGTACTCCCTTTTCAGGCAGAAACCTTTTCCTTACCCTTTTCTTCTTTTTGGAGTCCCAGTTGAAGCATTTGAAGATTTCTGCGTGTAGTCCTCAGAGCAGTCATCTGATTAACTGCATTCTGTACCAAAGGAAATCCTAATTGCCTTTCTAATCTGAACCACTGATCGCGGCAAAACCAGTTATCTTGGCCACGCAAAGCTTTTGTTTCTGGTATTTTGTGGAAGGCATTGTTACTCTGCCTTCCAGTGCTGTCCTGCTAGGGCCAGGCTCTTGGCTGTTCCCCCATCAGCTGGTTGATTCCATTTTCCCAAATGCTTTTACTTTGGGGTTGTGGTCGAACACCTGCTTTTCTAACTCAGTTGTATATAAACGTGTTTAAACGATACTCTCTGTCTTGTTTTATTAGGTGTTGTGATATCCATCGGGGGCATAGCCCTGCTCTGTGTGCTTTGTGGCCTGGGTGCGCTTTCACTGGGAGTTTCTGGAGTGCTGAGTGTTTGTTACATCACTCTTTCAGCTCTGGTCAACTGCTGGTGTGCCTCAAGGTAACAGCCCTGACTTCTGCATCCTGACTTCAAATTGCACCTGCACTGCTGCTTTGGTTACTGCCTTTATATTAACAGTGAACCACTTCTGGTTCGTTTAATGGATGGTTTTTTGGTGCTGGGGCATCTTTGGCTGCTTTGGTGCTTCAACATTAAACCTCATCATTAGTATGGATTTTGGTGAGAGTTACAATCACAGAATCCTTAGAGTTAGAGGGGACCTTTAAAGGCCATCCAATCCATCTGCCTGCCACGAGCAGGGACACGCACAGCTCCATCAGGTGCTCTGAGCCCACCCAGCCCGGCCTTGGCTGTCTCCAGCCATGAAGCATCCACCACATCTCTGGGCAACCTGTGCCAGGGCCTCACCACCTTCACTCTGAAAGGCTTTCTTATGTCCAACCTTAAACCTCCTCCCTTTGAGCTTGAAAAACCTGCATATGCTAACACTGTAACATCAAAATTTATCTTTATCTCAGAATTAATGTTGATTTAAACATCCTCAAAGCATGCTTTCAGGTGTGCCTAGAGGATGCAGCAGCGTTCTTTCTGCACAACACAGTACCCAGCTATCTCAGCTTACCTGCATTTGTAGAGAAATGGACAGAAATGTAGCTTTGGAATAGGAGCACGAGTTGATAAAGGGAAGAGCGTGGGTGGCTTCAGCAGGAGTGAGTCGTTTTTCTGGATGCTACGCGTGTACTGGATTGCAGGTCAGGTCTGCACATGCTCCAGGAGCTCAGGGCTTGGAGGCCAGTTTAGGGAGCTGTGCTTTAGCTCTGCTCTGCTGGGCTGAGGGCGGCCCTGGCAGGTTGTGCTGGAGGGCCACCTGCTGCCTGCCAGTGCGTTCACAGCAAGGAAGGGCTGATGGTCACTCGTAAGCACAGGGGGGAGCAAGGAGAAAAGCTGCAGCTGCTCTCTCTGAGACTTTCTTAGTTTGGTCCTTCATCACAGCAGCATTTCTGCACGGTTCTCAGGGACACACAGTTTCCTGTGAGGGTGTTGTACTTCAGGAAGAGAAGACTGGTGCCAAGCCCAGTGTGTCTGCACACCTCCAGGACTTGCAGCCCTCCTCCGAGGCGTGCTGCCAGGCCCATCGCTTTGCCCACCAGGTCCAGGAAAGATTTCTCTCTCCTGCAGCACATAGTGATGTGCTGAGAACCTACATACAAATTACAGTTTGATGTTAAAGAGGCGCTGGCAGATCGCTCTTTTTGTGTTCGGTGCCTTTTCAGAGAGCTGTGGCACGTAGAGCAGCAGCGGATGTTCAGAAGTCTCAGGCTTACATCTCGTGTTGCTCAGCTGCTCTGGCAGAAAGTTAGACAGCAGTCTTAGGGGAGAACAGACATAAAGTTGTTCTTTTCTCCTGTGCAGGAGCCAGGCGAGGAAGCAAGAAGTTAATGGAAGTTCACCACAGAAGAGTCTGTCTGTCATGGACTTCTCTGACAACAAACGAAAGAACAAATAGTGGGATTCTGCCCATCTTCAAACACTCCGCTGTGCAGGTCTGTCCTTTGCAATGTAATTGTTTACTTGTTAAGCATCCAACCTCAGTGCACTTCATATGGGAGCTGAAAGAGCCGGCGTGCGTCGTGCGTTGTCACTGTAACAGCAATGGTAGGAGCACACGCTGAGCAGCACAGCGTGACACTGCGTGAGCGAGGGAATGTTCTGCAGAGTTGGGGAGAGGGATGCAACTGTCACAGCAGAGTTGGGGGCAGTTGGGTAAGAGAAGGGCCGGGCAGTGTTTGCCTGTGCTCCTGGAGCTCTGGCTGCACTGTTGTTTGCAACGCGTGCGCAGTGGTTTGGCCATTTCATACGTAAGTGTTAAAGCCCAGAACATCAGAAATGCTTTTGAAAGGTGAAAAATTTCTAAGTGCTAACAGCCCGTGTTAAAATACTGTGAGTGTACCACACTAATGCTGTGTGTTGTGAGAGGAAAGCAGGTTTCATCACGCCTTAATTGTGGTGTAAGCTTTTGCACACCTATACAGCTGCAGGGATGTTTTCCTGCACTCACTGCCACCTCACTGCAGCCGTTTGCAGCCTGCCCTTCTGTTCTGCCCTGCTCTGGGTGCTTAAGTGGCCTGTTCTGCTTCTTGGTTGTAACCTCTCACTTTGTTGAAACTTTTTCCATTTTTGACAATGCTGTCATAGTTCTAAGCATTATCTAACTGTCTGAGTTTAATAAAGTGCTGTTTGTTTAACCACGTTGCCTCATTATTCTTATTTATTCTCAAGTAAAAAGTTGCCCTCAAAACTTCCCTAAGAGTTTTCCTTTCGAGCAGGAGCACACTTGTTCAATAAAATATTTACTGTGAATATTTCAAAACTTTTCCCCTATAGAATGTTCCATAAAATTCCTGTTGGTAGCAGGAAGACAAAAACAAAATTGAGTTTCTCTGTAAGGAAAGATAGGGCTGTAGTACTGTTTATGTAGCATAGGGAAGGAGAAATCCATCAAGAAGATGGAACAAAGAAACCATTTGAGCACGCATGCAGAGTTTTTTGCTATCGCTACTGGTGGGTAACACCTGCAGCAGCCAAACCCCCAGCAGCAGGGCTGCTCAGCAGCATCCCTTGGCCCAGGCTGCTGTGCCACCAGGGCTGGCTGTGCAGCACACAACGCAGCACCGCTTGTCACACTGCACGTTGGTGGTGCCTGGCTCCCTGCAAGGCTGTCTGTACTCCACGAAGCCAACAGCTCCTCCCCCTCTGGGAGGATGCTTACTGAGACACCTTCAAAACTCCATCGAAGATGTGGGTGAAAGCGTTCGTTCAACAGAAGCGGCCCTAAAATGGAGCGCTGTGGCAGCACAGAGGGGCCTTGACCCCAGCCCTGTCCCCATTTACCATAACCCCAGGGCCGACCCCTCGTGTTACATTTTGGGCTGAGTGCTGGGCAGTTTGTCTAGAAGGATACAGGATGGAAAGCTTTACTGAAATCCTAAAGATAACAGCAGCTGGCTTCCCTCCACCAACATGACAGGTGACTTCACTATGGAAGGAAAGTTCATTTGTTAAAGACCACCTCCTCTGTGAACCCACACTGGCTCTGGCCAAAGACAGCACTGTCCTTCAGAACCTCCCAAGGTAATTTTCTCCATCCTTTTTCCAAGCACTGAGGTGAGGCCGACAGGCCTACAGGTACTGAGGTTTTGCTCTGGCTGGCAGTCAGCTGGCACCTCTCTAGATTCCCAGTGATGGACAATTCAGAGACACCTGGCGCTGACCTTGGCCAGCTCTGAGTACTCTAGGATGGATCCTTGTGAGCTCTCCTGCACCACAGCAGGCTGCACCCAGCATCTCTGCCTCCCCCTGGCTTCCAGGCACTGCCAGGTCCTTGGGAGCATCCAATGATGGAGGTCAGGGTAAAAGGAATCCTGCTCAAGACAGCCTTGATTATCATCCATTGAGGATTGCAGCACTGTTAGGATCTGCCTGAAATCCTTTTAGGAATTATAGTCAGCCCATCAGCAATGCTTATTGTGAAGGAGTGGCAGTGGGAGCTGAGCTCCGCTCCACGCCTTCTCTCCCCCCCCCCCCCCCCCAAGCTGTGGCAGCATCACAGACCCAGTCCCACACAGCACTGCTCCACCCACTTACAACAAGTTGAAACCAACGATGAATAATTCTGTAGTGACACTAAGAAACAAGTTTAGCTTAAAGAAAAGCTTTACTACTTCTTGCCCCAGCAGAGCTCTGCACACCGTTCCTATCCAGCTGCCCCCTACAAGCACTTCTGTGCTCTGCTCACAAGGCAGTAGGATGCCCAGCACAGCATCCTTGAGATGCTGGAACATGGGAGATTCTGAAGTGGCTCGTGGCACTGACCAGTGCTTTTGCTCTGCTGTCTGCTGTCTCACTGGATTAAGAGCAAATACAATCCAAACGCTCAGTTTTAAAGGAGAATCTCATTAACCCAAAGCCGTTGGGACCAACATCATTTAGTTTAGTGGGGAAAGGCAATTGCCAGAGCTGATGCTCTCCACTTGTGCCATCCAGAAGCAGGAGTTTATTCTCAAATCAGTGCATTGGTAGAGAAAGCAACAACGCTGTACAAGTGAAAGCACTGCTCACAGCCTGGCCTTGCTCACAATAGCAGGCTCAGGAAATCCCGTAGCAAGTTCAGTTAGTTTTACCTCTGCCAGCTTCCAGCAAGGTGCTGCAATTGGGCACAAGCAGTCGCACGGAGACACAGCCCAGCAAAAGCAGCAGCCACACCTTCAGATGAGGCACCAAACAGAGGCAGCAGTTGTGCTCTTCCAGCTCTTGGCTTGCAGGAGAAAGAGCACTTTAACCTACTGGGCTGCCTGCAAGCCACCCTTAGCCTGGATTAAAACCTGGTCTACCTCCAGTTTCATTTGCTTCTGTTTGAGAAGCATTTCCTCAGAGAGAGGAAGAGCCTCCCACTCATTCTCTGAAGCCTTGCTCGAGGGGAAGGTGGTATAATGATCCAAGTGACAGCCTAAAGGACAGCGGGCACCTCCTGCAGTCTTAGCACTGAGGCGTGCAATGCATTAGCAGAACTACTGGACAGCTAACACCAACCACTGCCACAAGCTTCCTTCTAAAAGTGCTCTTTAAACAGGGAAGGAGGGAAGAGGAGGTGTAGTTTCTCTTCCAGATGAGAACCCCACTGCATTTACACTCGCATTTTGCTTCTCCTGTCACATACGCTCCTTTTTCTCACACCGGGATCCTCCTCCCCCCAGCCCACCTCTTCCAAAGGGACACTTCGCAGACTCACCACCCCGCACCCGCTGAGTCTCAGCGCCCGCTTCCGATTCGCCGTGCACTTCACACCTCGTCCTTCGGAGGGCGCTGCTCGGCTGAGTGGTGCCGGTTCCGCATCGCACTGCTCCGCCCCGCGGCTCTGAAGCCAGCGCGGCGACTGCGCTACCGAGCAGGACGGGGAGACCTGAACGCCGCAGTGCCCAGCGCTGACCTCGAAGCAGCAGCTCAGCCCTTCTCCGAAGGGAGGGAAGGAGCAGCTGAAGAGGGGCTGCTTTCACACGGCTGTTTTCTAGCAGTCGCGGCTTTCCTGAGACAAAGAAACAGCCACCGGCTTTAGGCCCTAAAGCTTTGGGGGCTTCTCTTCTGTTTTCAGCTCGGTTCCTCTGCCCGAAGACCTGGGGAGCACTGCCTCCATTCACCGAGACACCTGTGTTTACCTCCAAGGAGCTACACGACCAACTCCAGAGCTACATCTCTTACCTGAAAAGCCACATTTTTAATCCAAGTTTGATAACAAACGCATTAATATACCGCATTTACCATCAGGGCTCTTCTTTTCAGGCATTTAAGAAGAGCCATAAATAACAGCATCGCGGCCGCCAGAGAGAGAACGCCAACAGCAGCCGCAGTCACCGCAGCCCACGTCGCCCGGCTCAGCGCAGCGTCCCCTGCAAGGGGAGCAGAAAAGCACCGCGCTGAGGGGCCGCCCCCCACGGCCGGGCAGCGCACGCCAGCGCCGCTCCTCACCTCCAGCTGCCGCCCATCCGCGGGGCACCAGGAGAACCGGACCCTGCAGGCTCGCCGTGGAACTGGCGCCCGGCCTCGCACCGCCTGCAACCGCGCACGGGAGAGAGAAGTGAGCGGCGTGGTGCCGCGCGTCGGCACTGCCGTAGGACGCAGGGCGCGCCGGGGCGATACCTCGCTTGCTCCTGGGCGGCCTGGGGCACCTCGCTGTGCACAAGGGGGAGTCCGGCTGGAAGCGGTCGCAGAGGAGGGCGCTGCAGTGGAAGTACACCTGGACAGAACAGATATGGCCGCTCGCTTACAGGAGACGGGAGGTCCTGCTGAGCGCAGTAAGCGATAAGCGGCACTCACCAGGCCGGGGAGGGCTTTGTCCGACACGAAAGCAAAAGCCTTCACTTCCAGCCTCTGGCGATAGTTGGGATAGCTGACGCCACGGCCCACATCATGGAACGCAGTCCTGTAGCTGTCCTGGTCGTACTCACACCTGCAGGGGGGAGAAGCAGCCCATCAGTGGTAGGGCAGAGGCCATAGAGTGGCCGAGGTGGGATGGGACCTGTAAGACACCAACACCCCCCTGCTACGGGAGGACGCCTCCCTACAGCCCAGGCTGCTCCGCTTCCAGCCGCAGGCTACAGTTCAAAGCACAGGCACCATCCTGCAAGTTGCAGGACGCCTCCATGCGTGGCACCAGGCAGCGGCGCCCAGCAGCACCCCCCAAAGCAGGGCCTGTTGCCCCACGCCTCCGATTGGGAATGCAGAGAGAAGAGGCGAGGGGAGAAGCAACCAAACCCTGCAGCCAACAGGGCAGCGTGCCTCCAGCGGGGCGCTCACCCATCAACAACAATATTCCACTGAGGAAGAGAGCTCGGATCTTCTGATGCTGTTGCCCAACAGTCATCCAGCTGGAGATGGAGGTTGGGGTCATTGCGGTTCAGGACCTGCACTTCCATGAAGATGGGCTGCTGGAGGTACCTCACTATGGGGTACTGGTCGTCATGGTACGGCTGCCTGTACGAGTCCTCTGCAAGAGCCAAAGCCTTGGTAAGTGAGTCCCTACACGACAGTAGTCCTGAAGAAACCCATGCGCTTTGAAGCCAGCTGCTCTGCTGGCTGGCAGCTCTCCCTGGAGCCAGAGGCACTCAGCTCCAGAATCAACTCCTCCACCTCAAGTAGCATAGCAGGAGGAAGAGAAGCATGTAGGGCCCCACAAAGCCCACACACCCAGACTTGCACACCCTCCCTCTCATCTCAAGCATGAATTACTGCCCGGTTATCTGAGCCTGGGGATGGCTTACCTGGGTAGCTTAGAAAAATTAAAGAGAGGGGGCCTTGGTTCATGGAAGCAGCCAGGGGGGGAGGGTTTTCAACCCCTACAGAGATGGAGGCATCACCATTGCTGAAGGAGCACAGCACCGTTAACCTGGGCAGGGAACAAGAAGCAAGTCTCACACCTGTGCACAGCATACCCACAGCCAACTCTCAGCCAGAGAGACTTCCTGACACACCTGAACTCACTGTCCCTTGAAATCCTGTGCAGCAAACGGTCAGACCGCAGCGCCCTCACCTCATTCTCATACATTAACTTCTCTCCTTCAAGCTGAGAAGCGACAGCAGCATTAGTTGAGGGCATTCCCCCCACAAAGCCCCCCCTGCCAGCAGTGGGAACTCACCCAGTACCTGGTCCCACACCTGCTCAGTGGGACGTGAAACCAGGCCCTGTCGTTTGAGGGGGACCTGAAGGCAGGTTTGCACATGGGATCTCTGAGCCTGAGCGTGTCCAGGGCTAGCGGAGGTGTAGTACTGCCAGCAAGGACTTCAAAATCCATGTACCCATCCTGAGTGCATACAGCAGCTGGAACAGAGGTACAGGAGTCACGCCCAAATAGCAACAGCTCAGTCTGCCAAACAGCTGCTGTATTTTGGCCACAGGAACTTCCTGGGAAGGAGCAGGTCAAGAACAGGCAGGGTTGGGGTTTGCCAGCTGAGCAGGGCATAACTGACCTATTGGTGCGTGCTGGTCACAGGGGCACTCCGGGCGCATCACCATTGCCACAGTCTCCCCATGGAAATGAAAAGTCAGTTTCAAGGAGGACAGGTAGGACTGAACTCCAGGGCAGCTCTCCCCACGTAGCTGGAAGACAAGTTACTCTCCTGGAGCATAATGCAAGAGTTGCCCTTAACACCTACAACGGAGCAGTTCAGTCTGCTCTGCAGCCACACAGCGTGAAGAGCAGAAGACCTGCATTGCTCCAGGCATCTCCAACAGCAGCCCACCTCACAGCAGTGCAACCTCCAGCTGCTCTCAAAGGACAGTTCATGAAGTCAGAGTTACTTTTGAGGGCGATGCTTATCTGCTACCCAGTGAGGTGACATTTATCTGGGCCACAGCCACCCTGCATCAGTCACAGCACATGTGGCCAACCCAGGACCCATCCAGTCAGAGGTGGTGTGCTTTGTAACAAGCAAAGCCCAAAGAGCTGTGAGCACAGCCACCCCCACAACCCCAGAACATCAACTCACTGCAGACTTCAGGACTCCACTGCTGACAAGCAGGTTGACCCCTCCTGTTGTGTTGAGAGTAATGCCTTTGTCCTGGAGCTGGTCCATTGGGATGGTCTCGTCCTCTACAGCCACAGCCATAAGGGTCCCCGGGAAGGCTGGGATGGCAACAGCCATGTGTGTCGTGTTACAAAGCACCAAACCTGCAACAACATCCTTGTTGAAGCAGAACATCCTTGTCAAAGCAGGAGCAGGCAGCTTCTCCCACACATTACCTGGAGCACAAAGCATTCTTGACTCCACGGTCAGTCTGTGTTCAGGAGGGCCATACGTGAGCTTCAGTGCCACAGTGTAGATCGCCTCCTGGTTGTGCTGCAGGGCAGGATGCAGAGCAAGGCACTCAGTGCAGAAGGCAGCACAGGTGAAGCTCTGCAGAGCCACGCAATGCCCACCTGAGGCTGCTGGTCTTCAGGAAGGAAGTGGAGCTTTGCACGCTCACTCTTTAGGAAAGCTCTGCTCAAAGGACAGGCAGAACCCCAGCAGAACTGTGCTGCTGCAGGTGCACCCTGAGCAGGGCCAGACAACTCAAGGTAACTCTGCAAACTAACAGCCTGCTCATACCATTAGGTACAGCTCCAGATGAACTCAGCTCTAGCCATAACCCACAAACACTTCCATCATGAGGAAGGCTTCCAGCCCCGGAAAAAGCTGCATCATCCCTTCAGCATGAGCTCCATGCTCCTACCTTGTAGGAGACAACTCCAATGGCAGTGAAGGCTGCCTGGAATACCAGGTGGTGTCCATCAGTCAGAAAGCTGTAGCCGTGCTGCGTGGCTTCCTCAAGGCTCAGCTGGTGAACCCTGATTCCATCATCAATTGTCAGAGTCCCAGCCAGCGCAGCCACCTGAACCTGCAGAGCAGGAGGGGTGCCTTAGAAGGGAAAGCACAGCCCCACAGCAACAGGGCACTTTGGGCCACCACAGCACAGGCTGTGCATTCGATGTATCTGCACTGAGGTTACACGTTAGACTCCCCAACAAGCGGTAGCTACTCCAGCCTGAAGGCAACGGGCTGCCTTTGGGTCCAGAACAGACACCTTCTGCCAGCAGGGAGACACCTACCGGGTGCTCATCACTGAGACTTGGTCCTGGGAAGGTAACCTGAGGAAAGAGAGCATGAGAGTTACCTCAGATGAAGCTGTAACCACTGTCTGCTTCTAAGAGAAGTCTCTGCTACACATCCCCAAAGCTGGAGTCGGCGCCAGCAGCCCCCACCCCCCAGGCAGCGCCGCGCCAGGTACGGTACGGCACCACGGCGCTGGGCACGGCTGCTTGCAGAACGGCTCTCAAAGAGCAGAGCGCCGTGCCAAGGAGGGCTGCAGCCAACAGACCTCCCCAGAACCACCGCTCCGTGGGACCCCAGCCTGCCCCAAGGCCCCCAGCAGGACCCACAGCACAGCCCTCACCCACCGCCATGGAATCCTTTGTGCACTCAGTCACACCAACAAAGAGAGGAGCAATGATTTCATCCCTGCGGGCAGCGCTGCACTGAGCGCTGTAGGTGACGTTCCTCTCCTCTCCCACGGTGCCGTTCAGCAGCAGGAGCAGCCTCAGCTGGTGCTGGCCGTGCTGCAGGGAGACAGGCTTCAATCAGGAGGGACGTCAACTCAGGAAAGAACAGCAGTGGAGCACAGAAGCCCTTCACCATTTGCTCCTTCATCATTAGGATAAGCAGCTGAGCTGGTACAACATCAGCTGGTATTTCAGGAGCTCTGGGGTAGAGATGGGCTCTCTGGGTCAGCAGGTCAGGCAGAGGGACACGAAGCACTGAGGGAGTCAGGAGCAGAGCCTCAGAGAGCACCTGGCAGCAGTGCCAGCACTCCTAGAGCAAGTACCAGGGGTACTTCCAGTGCCTGAGAGCAGCTGGTACCAGGAAGGCCTCTGGGCCTCTCCCCACTCTGCTTTAACAGCTCTGCATAACTCAGATTATGTGTTCATGCATACATGTATCTGCCAGGTGCTGACACCCTCGGGCCCCTTCCAGCTCCTACAGGCATCATTTAAAGTAGCTCTCCACTCCATCACAGGAGAGTACAGCATTCCTAGCAGCATCTGAAGGTGTTTAACGCACAGCTGGAAGAGGAAGTGCTCAGGGAACAGTAACCCAGCAGAAGGGGCCCTTCACAGTAGAGAAGTCTGTAGAAATTAGAGGTAGAAACCCTACTAAGCCCAACCTCGAGCAGCAGAAAAACCCCAAACACTCCATGACATCATGCTCCCAGATCAGAAGCGCGCTTTACCTCCAGGCTAGTGCAGTTCACCAGCAGGGCTCTGAGCAGCAGCTTCTCATAATCCACAGTGTGCTCACAGGACATCATCTCCTCCCCGCTCGCATCTATGGAGAAGGGAACAGCCAGCCCTGCAGGCAGCAGCTGACTTCAAGCCTTGGAGGGAACAGCTGAGCCAGGGCAGCAGCAACACCTACCCACAGCACGCACACGCCACGAGTGATTGCCGAGCTCCCCGGGAAGCTCCAGCTCCAGCCTGTCCTGCAGGCAGGTCACGCTCTCTGCAGAGGGAAGATCAGCCAACTCAGCCCCAATCCAAGAGCCCCTTTCACACCAGCAGCAGAGGAGGGGGCTCAAAGCAAACACAGAGCCCCTCAAACCAGCAGTAGCACAGGGAGATCACAGTAATTCATTCATTCTTACCTGAGAGGTCCAATTCCCCTAAGACCCTAGGGGCCAAGAACAGCAAAAATCCAAACAAAAGGAGCAGCAGCAGCCTGCAAGCAAAGCAGAGCCTCGTTAAAGAACAGCAAGGAAATGGCCCAGCTCCTCCTGGCCTCAACCTCACCTCATCCTCAAAGTGCCAGAGCACTGCTGCCCCACAAGCAGCCCCATCCCTTCCAGCCACCACAAGCCTCCTGGGTGCTGCCCAGGTGGGTTTATATGGGGCACACACAGGTGCAGCCTTTCTGGTGGGTGCCACCTCACCTGCCTCTCGTTTCTGGGCTGCCCTGGGAAGGAGGAGGGCTTCTGAGGGATGGCTGGGTGGTGCAAAGTCTTTGCCATGATGTTGTTAGATTTGATTTTAAAGCACTTTTTCTTGCTCTGAGTTTATTCCTTTTCTTTCTTTGCCGGATGGTGCAGACTTTTTGGGAGCTGCTTTTAAAAATGAGACTTCTGTGCTGCTTTGATTTCCTGGTCATTTAAAACAAATGTACTGGGGGATCTGGATGCACCTGAGGGTGTCTGGTTCTCTTTCTGGGCAAACCTGCAATGCTGAGGGCAGATCTCGTGCTTAGCAGAGAACCCTTGGGGTAGTCAAGGTGGAAGAGAATGTCCCTGTCAGAATTAGGGACCAAAAGAGCTCGGGGGCTCTGCCGCGCTCTGCTCTTCAGAGCTGTGAGGCCCAGGGAGGAGGTTCTGTGTTTTGTCCCAGCTGCTTCAGTTGTCTGCAAGTCAGACAGGCTTGAAGAAAGAAACAAGAGACTCATATTATTGAAAGCTTCTGAATTCTGGAGATGTGAGAGAGCGAGGAAACGGGTCGTAGGATTGGAAAGGAGTGTTATGGTGGCCATGAAGGATTTGTGCAGGGAGTAACGGGTGTTGTGTCAGTTATTGCGTGTGAGCGCCAGACGTTGGCTCATGTCTCCGGTTTTGCTGCCCCGCTCTGCTTGCTGCGGGCTGAGGGCGGCGCCGCAGCAGCGGCACGGACCTGCGCACGGCCGGACGCCGGGCACCTTCCCGGGCTGCCGGGCACCGCACTCCGCTTCCCTTCTGAGCGCGGATTCCTGCGTGGCCGCTGCCTGACGAGCAGCTCTGCTCCAGCCGCCCGCTGGTGCCCGGAGCGATGCTGAACGGCCGCTTCGCGTCCTGGAACATAAAAGCGGCTCCTCGGCTCTCTTTCGTTTTCCTGCTCCAAAGCCCTGCAAGCTCCGCTCTTTGGTTTCTCTGTGCTTTTTCTTTTGTTTCTTTGATTTTCGGATTTCAGGAAAACAAAAGGCATCGCGCGGTGCCGACCAGCCCAGCACAGCGGGCGCAGCGCGCGGCTCCGCAGAGCGCACGCATCCGAGCGCGGCCCCGCAGCGGGTCGGACGCCCGCGGCATTTCCTCCCCGCGGGAGCCCGGACGGCTGCGAGGAGGGAAGGAGTGAAGTCTCTGCGGTTGTTCCAATACGCTGCCATCCTCCCTGCGCGGCGTCCATCGCCCCGCGTGCCCGATCTCCGCGCTCTCTGAGCCCGATGGTTCCGGCCCCCCCTGCTGCGGGGGTGCCTTTGCTGCCCTCAGCCCTCGCCGCGCCGCGTTTGTTGCTCTCCGGTTTGCGGTGAGCAAACGTTGGCCCGGAGCACGCATCGTGCAGAGCAAGCGCGGCAGCAGCGCTGCTTTTCTCCCAGCTGAGGAGGCAGACGGGGCTCTGAGCTGCCTGAGCAGCCAACGTGCTGTGCTGAGGCTGACGGGTGCGACCGGTGGTGCTGCTCTTGGGATTGTCATGGGAGGAAACAGTGATCACCAAAGACACCGCAAAATCCGAAGACAAAATGGGAGCTGCTGGCTCGGTAACGCCTAGCTCACAGCAGCACCGTTAGCTCGGTGCTTCTCCTCAACCTCGTAGCACATTTCCATTGCAAGAGGAACAGTTCAAAGTTCTTTTCAAATCCCGATAGAAAAGCTTCATTTGAACTGCCCAGGACTTGGAAAAGCTGTGCTTCGAGCATCGCTCTCAAAAGAAATGTCTGCATTCTGGCTGGGAAACTTCACTTGCTGCTGAATCATGTAACACATTTTAAGTTGAGCTTTCCAGATGGGACATAAATTAGCAAATAGGAGTTTGGGAATAGATGGAGATTTTGTTCAGTCTTTCCTCCTTTATTCCTCGTTTTTGTGGTGCCCACTTTGGCGACATAAAGGATGAAAGCTTGTGAGGTCCCAGAGCTTCTCTGCATCTGAAGGGGGTTTTGCTTTGCCCTCAATTAAAACTTGGAACAATGGCATCAGTTGAAAACTTCCCTCTGAAAGAAACCTTTTGAGATGTTAGTGAATAACCATCACTGAGATCAACATTTTGCATGCTGGACTAAATACCAGAGTGGTCACGAAGGTGCGGGAAGGAGCGTAATTCTGCAGCAGGAACCATTTCCAGAAGGAACCCCAAAGGCGGCTGTTGTGCCCACCATGGCCTGCAGTCAGGACGTGTGGGGAGGCAGCCCAGCATCCCTGCTGGGTCGGTGCGACCCCAGGGGACCGGGGCAGCGGAGGCAGCAGAGGATGCAGCCTGGCAGGGCATCACACCGAGCCGACAGCCGCCATGAGTGCGACAGGAGAGCGGGGAGCCCGTGGCGCTCAGTGAGCTCATGTTGTCTCAGCATTCTCAGATTTCTTCTCAGCTGTGACCTGCTGAGTGTGTTTCCCTCAGTAATCCTTTTGAACATAAGAAAACAGGATTGGGAATCACAGAATCATAGAGTCGCAGAGCAGTTTGGGTTGGAAGGGACCTTTCAGAGCATCTCGTCCCAACCCCCTGCTGCAGGCAGGGACACCTCCCATAGCCCAGGTTGCTCACAGCCCCATCCAGCCTGGCCTCCCAGCAGTGCTTCCAGGCAGGGGGTATCCACAGCGTCACCGGGCAGCCTGTGCCAGTGTCTCCACCTCACAGTAAAGAATGTCTTCCTAACGTTTAGTCAAAATCTACTCTTCCAGTTTAAAGCCATTTCCCCTCGTCCTGTCCCTACACGCCCTTATAAAAAGTCTCTCTGTAGGCCCTTCAGGTCCTGGAAGGGCTATAATGTCTCCCCAGAACCTTTTCTTTTCCAGGCTGCACAGCCCCGGCTCTCAGCCTGTCCTCGTAGTGGAGGTGCTTCATCCTCTGATCATCTTCATGGCCTGCAAGATCATCCAGTCCAAATGTCCCCTTACCATCAATGTTTCCCACTGCCCACATCCCTCAGTGCCACATCATCTCTGTGGATCTTGGGTCCCTCCTGGGATGGTGACTTCCCTCCCCCCCCAGGCTGCCTGTTCCAATGCATCACTGCTCTTTTGGAGACGTTTTTCCTAGCATCCAACCCTGTGCTCTAGTTCCACAGGCTTTCCCTCACAGGGTAACCCATTGCTCCACTGTCATCAATGGAAATAATGTCTAAACTGACAGGCTAAACTTGACAGGCTGAGGGAGCTGAGCTCGTTCCGCCTGGAGAAGAGAAGCTGCAGGATGACCTCATTGCAGCCTTCAGGACTTAAAGGCAGCCTACAAACAGGAGGGGAGTCAGCTCTAGGAAAGGGCAGATGACAGCAGGACGAGGGGAAATGGTTTGAAGTTGAGGGAGGGGAGACTGAGGTTGGATGTCAGGGGGAAGTTCTGTGCTGTGAGAGTGGTGAGGGGCTGGAACAGCTGCCCAGAGAGGCTGTGATGCCCCATCCATCCGTGGATGTGTTGGGGGCCAGGCTGGATGGGGCCCTGGGCAGCTTGGGCTGGCATTAAATGTGGAGGTTGGTGGCCCTGCACACAGCAGCAGGGGGTTGGAGCTTCGTGATCTTTGAGGTCCCTTCCACCCCGGGCCATTCTGTGATTCTGTGATAACTGAGACCTGTGCCTGTGAGGACGAGGCCGGGCGGAGCGTCCTATCTGCACCAGCAGTGTGTGCAGCCACGGGCTCAGGAGCAGCAGGCTACTGCTGCTGGAGCTTCTGTGCTGCCTGGAGGAAATCAGCCGCGTTGCTCCATCTGTACTCGAAAACGTAGCTGCCAGCAACAGCAGCTGAGACACCAGAAAGGTGAAGGACCCCCCTGCATTTCGGCAGCACCCCACGCAAGAAAGGAAGCAGTGCTGTGGCGGTGTGGCCGCTGCTCGGGAAGGGAAGCGGGAACGCCGCCCGCCGTGCGCAAGGCAGGACTTTGCCCCCCTCGGCCGCCCTGCGCCTGGGACGATGCCGCAGCTCCGGCCGTGGGCGGGCCGCCTTGCAGGCGGGCTGCTGACGGCTGAAGATGTCGAGCAGGTATCACCGCGCGGCGGCCGACGGCAACCTGGAGCTGCTGAAAGAAGCCACTCGGAAAGACCTCAACGCTTCCGATGAGGACGGGATGACACCCACGCTGCTGGCCGCGTACCACGGGCGCCTGGAGGCTCTGGAGGTCATCTGCCGCAGAGGGTGAGTGGGGCGGCCTCCCTCTCTCGGGGCTGTGGCGCCGACCCAATTAGCTCTTATTTCCACGCCGCAGCGACGCCCCGAGAGCTGCCGGAGCCGCGGCGCCCCTTCGGGCAGCCAGCTCTGCGAACTGCCGTGCACGGCGTGGCCGAGCAGCCCCTTGTTCCCCGGTGGCAATCCTTTTTTACTGTGGGAGGGCACCGTCCTGCAGCATCACCGAACGGGGTCCTGTCCCCGTCGCTGCAGCGCTCCCTCCAGGGCTGACGTTTCGTGCTGTGATTCTCTCGAAAGGTTTAGGAGGGGGGAAACAGAGTAAAGAGAATGTTCATTCTGGGGTGAGATGGAAGTTAAGTTGTCCTCTGGATTGTGTTTTCAGTCTGAATGGTGTGAAGGAGATTGGGGGGAACGTTTGATGAAGTACTTGGATGCATTCAGTTCTCCTTGCCTAGAAGCAGCTTTGAAAACATCACACCCCAATGGGATTGCCACAGATCTGCTGTACAGCTGAGCTCAGGCGGGGCTGTGGCTGCACTGTAAAAAGGGCCTTTGGACTCTATTGCTGTGGCTGCGCCTCCAGGGAAAGCAAAAATTAACTTGTGCGATGAAGGAGGCTGCAAGGAGGTACTGAGAGTCCACAGAGCACAGGGAACGACTGCCCAGGGAACAAATAACCGAGCAACCTCAAGGTATGAGTTCAGAAAACCCCTTCTGCCTTGAGAACAGCTAAAACTTCCACATGCGCTCAGAGAAGCTGCAGCAGAGGGCACAAAGCCCAGAAGAGCCTTGTGTTGCTCCATGTGCTCCTGCTCCCTTGATGCGGGGCAGCTCTGCGTCTGCCATCCCAGCGCTCCATTCTGCGCATCCCGGTGCGCTCAGCAGGCGCTGCCAGCAGCTCACTGGGTGTTCGCTGGGGGGAAGCTGAGTTCTGGGAGATGCTCAGTCTGCTGTGCAGTCCATGCTTTCTTAGATCTTTTTTTTTAATGAATTCATCCTTTCCCTGAAGCAAAGGCAGTTTCCCAACAGAGGTGCAGTGAGGAGGCATTCCCTCCATGGGGTGCATCCTGCAGGGTGCTGGGCCTGCAGCACACACAGACCCTGGTGGACGTGTCAGTGTGACAGCGTGAGCGAGCCCTGTTGTCTCCACAGAGTTCGCCTTCCCAGGCAGCAGGAGGTGTGCTCTGCCTGTCTGTGTCACACAAGGGGGGCAGATCTGCTTCCTTCTTTCTGCTGGGACAGTAAGGAAAGAGGAACCGAGGAGCCATCGTGGCCACAAAACTGTACCCCACTCACTATCACATGAATGAGGCTGCGAGGCCAGCGGGGTGCGGGGTGAGGAGAGACCCCAGGCAGGGCTGTGGGGCCCTGCAAGGCTGGGGGTGACAGCTCTGCTGCTGGCGTGGGGTTGAGGAATTTGCCGTGCTCTGCTGCAGCCGCTGGCTCCGGGGAACGGACATGGAAGCAGAGATGCACACGTGTGTTCCTGTAAGTCTGAGTGGAAAACCACTGCCCCCAGCTGCACCCTGCCCACGTGCTGCACTGCCACTGCTGCCGCACACCCGGCCCGGTCCCCACCTTAAAACCAAACTTGCAATCCCAAGCACAGATGCAGGCTGGGCAGAGAGTGTTGGTGGACCAAAGATTCAACATGAGCCAGCAACGCGTGCTTGCAGCCCAGGAGGCCAAACAGATCCTGGGCTGCATCAAGAGAAGCGTGACCAGCAGGGAGAGGGAGGTGATTCCATCCCTCTGCTCTCCTCTCATGAGATCCCACCTGCAGTTTTGCGTCCGGTTCTGGAGCCCTCAGCACAAGGACACGGAGCTGCTGCAGGCCATGAAGATGATCAGAGGATGGAGCACCTCCACTACGAGGACAGGCTGAGAGCCGGGGCTGTGCAGCCTGGAAAAGAAAAGGTTCTGGGGAGACATTATAGCCCTTCCAGGACCTGAAGGGCCTACGGAAAAGCTGGGGAGAGACTTTTTATAAGGGCGTGTAGGGACAGGACGAGGGGAAATGGCTTTAAACTGGAAGGGTAGATTTTGACTAAACGTTAGGAAGACATTCTTTACTGTGAGGTGGAGACACTGGCACAGGCTGCCCGGTGAGACTGTGGATGCCCCCTGCCTGGAAGCACTGCTGGGAGGCCAGGCTGGGTGGGGCTGTGAGCAACCTGGGCTATGGGAGGTGTCCCTGCCTGCAGCAGGGGGTTGGGACGAGATGCTCTGAAAGGTCCCTTCCAACCCAAACCGTCCTGTGATTCTGTGATTCTAAATGAGGGGAGATTTAGTTTGGATGTCAGGGGAAGTTTTTCAGTGAGAGTGGTGCAGTGCTGGCACCAATGCCCAGAGATGCTGAGGATGCCCCGTCCCTGGAGGTGCCAGGCTGGATGGGCCCTGTGCGACCTGTTCTAGTTCTGACCTTGTGGTTGGCAGCCCTGCCTGCAGCTCAGGGTGGAATCTGATGATCCTGATGAACCCAAGCCATTCTGTGATTCTGAGATTCCGTGAGCCAAGCCAGGCCCATCCCAGCCTGCAGGCAGCAGCTCCGTGTGCAGTCAGTACAAAAGGGATGCAATTATTTTCACTGGCTTTAAATTTTGTTGAAAATAATATGGCTTTTATTTTGTTTCTTTTGTTTTCCCATTTCCCAATGAACTTCTACTTTCCAAACCCCACAAGCAAAAGAACCATGTGGAGAAAACAAAAGAACTGAATGAAACCAAAATCTGTCTGTGCCCAACCCAACACCAATGGAGACAAAGGAGCCGCACTTTGCTGCTCCTCATTTACCCCCTGCTGCTCCGCTGCCATTGCGTGGGCGCATTAATTGCACTTCGCTGCGGCTGGTGAGGGATCCTCCCTGTACTGTCCCGATTTTTGTCGTGCCAAGAGGCAGAAACACCTTTGCAATACTCTGCCTGGAAGGTCAGGGAGCAGCCGTGCCCTCTGTTCCAAGGTGCAGGCAGAGGCCGGGTGTGCTGCTGATTGCTGCCGCACGGCAGTGGGCAGCTGAGGTGGGCATGGAGCAGGCAGGGCTGTGCCAAAGCCCCACAGCCCCCGCTGTAAGAAGGACACCCTGCTGCTCCATAGGGATCGCGGGCACAGCAAACTCATGGGTGAGCGGTGATCGGGGTTTGCCCACGCTGCTCGGGGTGCAGCACGGCTCCCCAGGATGGAGCGAGGCCAACCTGCTGCCATCGGGCCGCGCTCCTACAGCAGTCGAGGTAACCGTTGGGTGCTGGTTCTGCTTCACTGCTTCACGCACGGTGCTGTCCTCCGTGTGCCACTCACTCTGTGCCATTTTCCTCCTCAGAGGCGATCCGGACAAATGTGACATCTGGGGGAACACTCCGCTCCACCACGCCGCGTGCAACGGTCACATCCACTGCGTCTCCTTTCTGGTCAGCTTCGGTGCCAACGTATTCGCTCTGGACAACGAGCTCCGCACGGCGCTGGACGTGGCTGCCAGCAGAGATCGCCACGAGTGTGTCAGACTGCTGGACAGGGCCGCCATGGAACAGAATGTGGCCAATCCCAGGAAGGTCTCCAAACAGAAGGCCCAGGCCCAGAGGAATGTGGAGAAACAGATCAAGGAGTGTGAGAAGCGGCAGGAGAAGCACCAGCATGAAATGAACAGGAGCTATATGAAGGAGAAGGAGAAGGTTGGCTCGGTGACCTCCTCCAGAGGGACTCACTCCAGGGTAAAGCTGCCGACTCTCTTCACATCGAATACAGCAGCTCCTTTCTCCAAAAACCTGAAGGATACCTTCAAACTGAAGGCAAAAAGGACGGCCGGCAGCACGAGAAGCCAGGAGCCACAAAGCAACGGCCAGGCAGACGGTGGGGACAGGGGAAGCGTGATGCACTTATTCGATGAGAGGGAGGAGGACGACTTACCCGATGATGATGGCCAGCTCTCCATTTTCACACGGCCAGGTCTCGGCAAGATTGTGTTTGGAAGGAATTTGGCTGCAGATATAGATCCCGGAACTGTGTCTTCCCAGAAAGAAGGTATCAGCTTTAAAATGTCCAGCGAGCTCTTCCAGAACGAAAGTGCTGAGAGCAGCATGGAGGGCAATGCTGGAAGTGGGGCAGATGTCCCCTGGCAGGAGGAGGAGCTGCTCTGGGATGACGAGGAAGCAGAGAGCACACCCCTGGAGGTGTTTCTGGCCTCACAGATGCTGGATGAGTTCCTACCCGTCTTCATGAGGGAAAAAATGGATTTAGATGCCCTGATGCTGTGTTCTGATGAAGACCTACAGAGCATTCAGGTGGAGCTGGGTCCAAGAAAAAAAGTCCTGAGTGCTGTGAGTAAAAGGAAACAGGCATTCCAGGATCCTGGAAAGACTGTGGATACCTGCTTGTAAAACAGCATCCCCGTTGCTGAGATCTGCTGATCTGCACGCTGAGACCTTTTCCTGCTTCAAAACAGCATGCGACTCTTCTCACACCACTGCTAATGCAAAGGGCAAAGAGCTCACGGCGATGCAAGGAGCTCATGGAATGCAAAGAGCTCGCGGTAACGCAGAGATGTGCAGTCAGACCAGGGCTCCTCACTCTGGGTTGGTGGCAGAGGTGTGCGGGCTGCGGTGTGGATTTGGGCACGCTCTGCCAGAAGTTCATGACAGTAAGAGCCAAGAGCTGTAATCCAGGGCTCATTCTCCTTGCTTACATGAGCAGGGTCTTTGGGTTTACTGAATGCGCCGCCCGTCTTAACGAGCCGCTCCGTTCTTCTGCAAAACAGCACCGAGCGTTCCTAGAGCTCCAGGCTTCCAGGTTTATCTCCGTCCCCGTGTTAGATTGCTGCAAACTGCTCTTCTCAGCGCTGCTGCTCTGCTAGAATAAAATCTGCTCCTTGGCTCCGGCCGGTGCTCATCGCCTCTGCTCGTGTCTGAATTCAGGTAAATAGGAGTATCAGCCAGCTCCGTGCTGCCGCTCACGTTTCTCTGCTGCTGTTGCTGAGGAGTGCCTGAAATCCCCGCTGAGATCCAAGAGCGGTGAGCGGCACCTCCTCCTGTCTCGCTGTGTGCCGGCACACACGGCGTCCTAAGCGGCACCGGGAGACAATTCCCTCTGCGGACGCGAGGCCGACGGCTCTTTTCCGCGTTCATTGTTCTGCGCGTCCCTGCAGGGCACGGCTGGCACGCAGGCCGAGGAGCAGAGCCGTGCAGCCGGTGCTGATGCTGCTCAGTGCCGCCTCAGCCCGGCACGGCGGATGCACACACATCCAGCTCACAGGAGCAGGCAGGCAGGCGATGAGCAGGGCTGGCGTCCCACTGACCGGTCCCACAGCTGGAAAGGTGCAGTGCCTTTCCTTCAGAGCGCGTGGCGTTTGTGGAAACGAATTGCAGATAATCATCTATTTGTCACATTCCATTCTTTCCACATTTTTGTCTTCTCTGATTTACTCACCATTGCTTTCCTTGGCTGGACTTTGTGCTGCATTTTTTCTCTTTCCTGCTACTTGGCACGCTGTATTTCCCTGTGCCAACTGCAGCCCCGAAGGCTGACTGCATCCTGGGCTGCAGCAGCAGAGCGGGGCGGCGGGCAGCGAGGGGATTGTCCCCCTCTGCTCTGCCCTCGGAGCCCCCAGCTGCAGTGCTGCATCCAGGCCTGGGGCCCGGCACAGCAAGGGGGGAGCTGTTGCAGTGGGGCCAGGGCAGGCGATGAAGATGCTCGGAGCTTGGAGCAGCTCTGCTATGGAGACAGGCTGAGGAGCCGGGGCGTGCAGCATGGAGAGGAGAAGGCTGCAGGGAGACCTCATTGCGGGCTTAAAGGGAGCTTATGAACAGGAGGGGACCGACCTTTTACAGCAGCAGACAGTGAGAGGACAAGGAGAAAAGACTCTAAGCTACAAGAGGCAGATGCAGGTGAGATGTAGGGGAAATCCTTCCCTCAGAGGGCAGCGAGGCGCTGGCACTGCTGCCCGGAGCTGTGGGCTCCATCCCTGGGGGCTCAGAGCCACGGCCGGACCCGACGGAGCTGGGGGCAGCTGGAAGGCGGCAGGGTGGGGCTGGGAGATCTTCAAGGCCCCTTCCAACACAAGTCACCGTGTGATTCTGTGATCTCCATTAACTCTGTGCAGATGGCAGACAGCACATGAAGCCCCCAGGAGACCCTTGTCCTGCTTGAGCTGCACCTGGAGGAACCGCAGAGGCACACAGGACAGTGACCTGCAGGCAGTTCAGAACACCCATCTGCACTTTGCCATTTCCTGATGGGGGAAAGGAAAAGAGAGCCTTTTCTTGCAGGTTGTCCTGCACATGGAGCTCTGGGATTAAACAGCAACGTCGGACAACTGGGGAAAAACAATAAGATTCACACTCTATTCCCCCTGCTTGTGTTTTTCCATTTCTCCATAGCTTTTTTTTTTTTTAAAAAAAAAAATAATTTGGAACTATTTAATTAGGGAATTGCAGGTGCAACTCCTCAGTAACATTTGCATGTTGCATTTCAGCAGGAGAAATGATGTGCTTTATGTACAGCCCTACAATCCCACCCAAATGCAAACCGCAGAGCCATGAGGTCTCACAGCAGCAGAGCTGAGCACCACGATGTCATCTCCTTACAGACTGATGGCTGTGCAGGGGATGGACACAGCACTGAGCATCCCAGCAAGCAGATCTGCATTCCCCCTCACTCAGTGATCCCATTTACCAGAACAGCAATCACCGCAACACCAGAAGTGCTTCCCTCCTGGTCTAAAAGAGCAAAGCCCACCCAGCTGTCCAGAACAGAAGTAATGGACACCAACACACAAGTCGAACAGGAGCTATTTAATTTTAACATAGACGAGAGTTACAACAAATCTTGAGACTCTCAATCTGTAAGAGAAGGAAGCAGAGCAGCGAGGCCTGATCTTCGCTCTCTGAAGACCTGGAGATGGCACCCAAGTGGCCCCACTGTGCTGAGCAGCCCAGCTCCCCCCTGGGGCCACGGGAAGCCCAGTGGTTTCAGTTTGGGCTCACAGCAGCTCCCATTGCCAACAGTCGCTGTGAGCGCTGCTCTGCACCACCAGCTTCTCTGAGGTGGCCGTAATGGACTGGGCACCACCACCAGCAGCACGCTGCAGCCACCCCCCAGCGCTGCCCTGCACGGACCTGGGGCTCACACGATGCACTGCTGTGGCCCCGGCTGCCACAGCCCCCCACATTCCCCAGCTCTGCAGTAATAGCCGCAGCCCAGACACATTTCTCAGCACTTCACAAATGATACAAAGCAAAAAGCACTAAAAACACCGGGGTGACGCTGCTGTCATTAACACACGCAGAGCTGGGGGGAGGAATGTCTGCCCTCATTTCTGCTGACAGCAGCAAAAGCAGTCCAGTCCCACCTTTACCTACACAAAACACATCCCCCTCCCATCCCCGCCCCCCGCACAGTGCTAAACCTCGCCCATGTGCTAAACTGCACCCATGCACACTGCTGCTCCCTGCCTTCCCACTGCCCTGCCTCACTGTTCTGAGCTGACACTGTCCTCATTAACCCCTTCCACACGTACCTATTTGCCAACCAGGTTCCCACACGCAGGGCTTCACAGCCTCCTTCCCCCCACACCCGCTCCTCCCCAGGCACAGGAGGCAGACCGGCCGCAAGAAGGTGCAAGGGCAGCTGAAATGAAGCTTCCAGACACAGGCTGCATGCACAGCCAGGCTGCTCTCAGCCACCACCCAGCCTTCCGTGCAGCCATTGCGTAACGGCACAGAATGGGATTCCCTCCTTCTGCAGAGCATTCCTGGCTCTGCTGCAAGGGAGGACCACAGACATTCTGCCCCAGCACAGACCCGTGGGGACGAGCACTGCTACCAACAGGCAACTCAGCCAGGTGGAATCCATTTCCCTGTGCACTCCAAGTTCCACTGGCCAAAATCAGCCGGTGCTGTTCCAGCCACCAATACGCTTTGAGAACAGCTTGCATACACCATAGGCGACTAAGGAAACCTCCCAGCATGAGGAAACATTAAATCAAAGCACATTTTCAGCACTGACATTTCGGGCGAGTCCCTCCAACACAAAAAAGGCAAAACCACAGGCAGAAAAGCAGCAAGGGAGGGATTCAGTACAGTTTCAGCCTGTCTGAACCAGGTCTCCTACAACAAAGCCTGCCTGCAGGGAAGGCACGGCTTTGCACACAGATCCTGCTGGGGAATGTGCTCCTAAATGAAAACCAGTGAGGTTTGGGGCAGGAAATGGGGCACTGCTGGGGGCTGATCCCAGCAGAACAGACTGGCTCTGCGCCCTGGAAGGGCTGAGGAGCCGCTCACAGCCAGCACTGCACTACGACCATCACAGCTCCACACGTGGAACTCCAGTCTCCAAACTGCCTGCTACCCCAGTGGGAATGAGCCTGCTCAAAGCATGAGATCTACCCTGGACTGCCACACCAAAAATAACGAGGAAGGGCATAGCAAAGCATGTAAGAACACCATGTTAGTGTAAGTGCTGCCATCATCCACACACTGTGTGCGAGATGTTTGCTAGCAATGCTGAAGGTACCTAACAGCTATAGAAAACAGCAGAAAGTCCCGTGAAGTATTAGTTTTCATGCTTGAAAGCTGCATTCAGGTGGGGTTGCTGCCCATCTTGTTAACCAGAAATGCAAGGGAACCAAGTGCAAGTGATCTGCTGGTGCTTCATGACCTTGTTGGCACTGCAGAGCTCTCGCTTCATTTTCCAGCTGACCATGCATCGTATACAAACTTTGCAGCTACGGTATCTTCAACGGCCATCCCTGAAATAGAATGGGATTTGGCTCAGAAGGGAACAGGTGGACAGCAGCCAGCGGCAGCCCCATCCTGGCAGCCCCATCGCTGCGCTCCGAGTCGCTGCCACCACTCGCTCTTGACCATCCTAAGGAAGCCGACGTGAGTGTGAACACAACAGGCAGCGCTCCTGAGACCCCTGCAGCTGCAGCACACCGCAGCCCACCAGCACTGCTGCCCTTCCCACAGGCTGCAGATGCTCTGTGCCCTCCCGCCACGCACAGTCAGCCCGGAGCTCAGACAGCAGCACACAGCCGCAGCTGCATCCACGTGCTCTGCACTCACACTGGATGATGTTGAAACGGGAAGCCTACTTTTCCCACTCTGTTTTGCTTTCTTATCACCTTTTATTACCCAGCCCTGACGGACAAATTACAAGGCAGCTCCCACAGCCACTCAGCAGCCTTCCTGTGTGCTGCCCAACAAGGGCTGCTGCTGGGGCTGTCCTTACCCAGAGACTTGAAGACTGTGGTTTTCTCAGGCAGCGCTGGTTTTGTACCCTTCAGCACCTCCCCCAGCTCAGCAAAAATCTCTGCCTGCAAAACAGACGTGTTTACAGCAATTTAATATCCGCGTGTGCATTAAAACATATGCTTCTAAGTGATTGTCAATGCAATTCTGTCCTTTTCACTATCCCATCACGGAAACTTTCCTATGGGGAAAGAAATCAGTGCCCCGTGCTGCAGGACACGGAGGGGTGCAAATTGCAGAGCAGACAGAAGGACAGAGCACCACCACGGGCAGCTGTCAGACCACCCTCAGGAGCCGGGCTGTTCCTAGCCGGCATCTCGCCATCCACCAGCAGAACCGATGGCGCCCCACCCCCACATCCCCAGGTGTCAGACACCAGGAGAGAAGTGCTGCCACTCTGCACCACGGCTCAAGCAGAGCAGCGCTGAGTGCAGCTGTGCAGAACAGGAACGGCTCGCTGCTTCTCCTCATCCTGAGCTCTGAGTCACATCACTCTCACTGAGATCTTACAGGAGCAAGGGGACACATTTGATTCAAAGATTTCAAATATTTATATTAATTAACAAAGAGTGCAAGAAATGCACGCCTTCCAAAACAGCACTTGGTTACTGTACACCAAGGGCAGCGCTGAAGGCTGTGTGACCACTGGCACAGAAGGTGCGCGGCTACATCACAGACATCTCAGATCAGTTCCCCATCTGACAGCCGTGCACCGTGCAGCCCCAGCACAGCACCCAGCCCGCAGCGCCCCGCCAGGCCAAGCACTGCTCATCTCAACTCTGCTCCGCAGCACCAGGGCACCCAGACTCACCCCAGACAAGATGACATCGCCCGACTCCGTCAGTGCTGCCTCTCTGGAATCCACAACCAGAACAGAGCTCTTCATCAGCACGTCGTCCAGCTCCCTCCAGTCCGGCCTGCTTGCTCCGACCGCTGAGAAAGCACAACCATCAGCTGAGAGAAACGCTGGGAGCAAACTCAAAACGTGCTTTGTCCACAGAAAGGCAAAGTGGCCATGGACAGGTGGGAATGTGGCATAGCACAGAGGCATAGCATCCCGTCACCAAAGCTCTCACGTTCTTCTTAAGCAGAACCAGACCAGCTTGAGTCAGAACAGCTTGTTTTCTGTGGCTTTTGTTTTCTTAAGCAGAGCTAGCAATCTCCTCTGAAATACGCTCCTAACAAACGCCAACTTTGCACAGAGCCTCCAGAGAGCTGAGTCCCACGTGGACCACCTCCTCCGCCTGCTGCCTCTCACAGCCCCCTCCTCTCATCGCATCAGCGCCAAAGCACCCGAGGTTTGTCACCCTTCCACGTGACCCAACTGTGACTGTGCCGCCTGCCTACAAAGGAGAAGCTGGAAGCACTGTGCAGTTGTCCCAAGCAGGGCTCACTACCAGGACCCGCATGCAGGCAGAGCGCAGTGTTGCTAACAGGGATTTTCAAACCTGCAGCTTCTCCTGTCTCAGCTGTAAGCAGGACAGGGCACGCAGGTTGCAGGTATGATCCACAACAAGAAACAAATCCACAAGCCTAACCTCCGAGCACAGAAAGATCGCTAAGAGCTTCTGGGCTAATTAAACAGTTTTTGCAGTTAAACGCTTCTGAAGAGAGCTGCTGGTGGAGTAACAAGTGGTGTGGGGGGGAGGGGTTCGAGAGGGTCAGAGGGGTCTTTGTGTCCGCGTCGCCTCGACGACCGAGCCCGCCACTGCCTCTGGTGCAGCCTCGGGGCTGCTGCGGCCCCATGGGAACGGCCTGACGCCGCGCCCCGACAATCCGCCCTTTGTCTCAGCACCGCCAGCGGCCCGCCCGGGAGCACCGCCGCGGGGGGTCCGACCCGAAGGCTCCGAACACCCGGGTACCGCCCGACTGTCGGCTGTCGGCTCCGGGGAAAACCGACACGAGCAGCACGGAAAGGAACAAACGGAGACGCGGGGAAGGACGGACGGCCGCTCCGGGAGCCGCTCTGCACGCGTCGCTGTCGGCGCAGCGGCCGGCGGGGCGAGCGGCCGCGCGGAACGGAGGCAGCGCACAGCGCAGCTGCCGCCGGGGAGCAGCACGGCGTACCGTTGACGTGGGCTCCCGGCTTCACCCATTCTCCAAACAGAACGGGCGTCGTCGCCATGGTGACCGTCACGATCACATCGGCCCCAACCACCGCCTCCCGGGCCGTGCCGCAGACCCGCACCGCGCCGCCTAAGGCGCTCGCCAGCCTCACCGCGCGCTGCTCGCTGCGATTCCACAGCCGGACCTGCGGGGAAACGCACGGATCGGCCCGGGGCTCTCCCTGCCGAAGGAGGCCAGCCGTTCTCTTCCTATAGGCGGGTTTGGGGTTGGGTTCTTTTTACCGCAATTTCTCTTCGGGCAGCCGGGCGGTCAGCCCTCGTACAGCCGCACTTATCGGCACCGAGAAGCGAGAGGCCCGGGCGCCCCTTACCTCCGTGAACGGGAACAGCTCCGTGAGGATCTCGTAGTGGCTGCGCGCTTGGACACCGGCTCCCAGAATGCACAGCACTTCTGCAGACCTCGGCATCAGCAGCTAGACAGCACCAGAGCGAGCAGACGGTCAGAAAACAGATCAGCTGGGGCAAACGGATCTCAGATACCACAAAAGCAAGCAGTCCTCGTAGACACTTAAGGGAAAAAAACCATGGCTTCGTGCAGAGCTGCTCACATACACAGCAACACAACGGCTGGTGCCAGCAGCACCACTGCTCCCCTTGGGCAACTGGGTCTCAATGCCCAACCCCTGGAGCTCAGACTTGAGGTACAGCAGCACGGGCCGACGAGCTCCCACGGCACACAGCAGCATTAGCAGAACACACTGCACCCACGTGACAAACAAAGCTGGGAACTGCGATGCCGCTGTTCTGCACTGGCTGAGAACGGGGCAGCCCGACAGAGCTCCTTCTGCAGCTATAAAGCCACAGATCACAGTGCAACAGGCCTGGGTGCTGCAAGAAGCCATCCTAGCTGGACCCAGGCCCCCATCAAGAGGGGCGATCCCCCACCCCAGCCTGGCTCTCCTCTGCAATGTCCCCAGCTCCTTCCCATCCCCCTGCAGCACCAACACCTGTGTGCTTTCAGCATCCTCCCACTTCTTTTTCGATGGGCTGAGGAAGCAAAGGGAATAATGACACAGTGGTAGAACAGGAGCTGCTGAGATGCAGGCTACTCCTTGCTAGCCAGGTCGCAGCTGAGCTCCCTGCCCCAGCAGGGCACCAACTCCACCTCTCCCCTTCTCAGCTGCCAATGTTCCCAGAGCTTTTAGGACCTCAATGACTTGGCAGCTTTCACTCCTATCACATCTGATTGACAGCACCCCTCGGATTTGAAGTGCATTTGCTGGGCACCAACAGAAGCACAATCACTGTTGGGACACAACTTTGGGGGGGATCTTTTTCCCTACTTTGCCTGAGCTTGTCCCAGGTGCACAGCAGGAGGTCCATTTAGGTTAACCTATGAGGAAAAATGCTGCTTCCCAGATACTGTATTGCTGTGCATTTGTACTCTGTAACCTCCGTAAGAGACCTAGAGACAGTGAACTGCTGATGTAGGAAACATTGGACAGTAAGAACAGGAATGCCCAAGGAATACATTGCCAGGTTCAGCTCTGTGGTTGCTTCGGGTTTTCTGGTTTAGTTCCCTCCTGTGATTCAGCAGCACTTGGCAGGAGAGCAGCACAGGCTGCAGCACAGCCCCACGCTACCTTTGTCTCTTGTTTGTGCTTTCGCTACAGCCACTCGCTTCTGCATGAAAAGCTTTTGAGCTGTGCAGGCTCTCACTGCTTATTCTGCTGGAAGAAAATTGAGGGGGGAAAAAAAACCTCATTATTGCATTTTTCAGTAGCAACGACTCTTTGTAACATTCCTTTTCAAAGGCACTGAAGCACTAATCTCGAAGGTTCCTTGCATAAAAGCATTGGGTTTTTGAAAGCTGAGTGTCAAAGAGGGGACATGACGACAGCTATGAGCTGAACTCAGACACTGCTGAGAGCTTCCCGGAGCAGTGGATAGCAGTGAGGGCCTTGTCACGAAGCCCCTCCAGTAGCCAAAGTTCCTTGGAGCCAGCAGAGGCTGTGGGAAGCAGTCAGTGTCCCATGCAGCACGGTGGGACAGATGGCAGATGAGCATCGTGTTCCACAAGTACTGCAAGTTCTTCTGCCCTGGGAGCAGGAGAAGCTCCTGGGGATGGGTTCCTCTGCTCAGCTTTCTGCCAGCTCCATTTTAGCGCTACAGACAGAGCCAGGCAGGCATGGAGTGCTGCTAGCAAAGCACTGAGGTCAGCCCCACCTGGGCACAGAAATCAGGAGCGCTCTTTAGCTCCAGACCCCCTTCCTCTCACTTGGCTGAGCTGGAGCCACGGCACTGCTGTGCGATGGACAGCAAGCTGCTCTGCCCCTCTGCCCGATCACAGCAGCACAGCCCAGGTGCACTTTAGGAGAATTTGAAAGCAACCACATCTGACAGAGCATAAAGCAACGCACACCAAGGTCTGCATCCCCACCCTCAGTCAGCACGGCTGTCACACGGCCACCCCACACCTGTCCTCGTCAGACCACCATCCTCAGGAGTGCCCACGGGAAACAAACCCTTTTCCCACAAGCCTGGCGGCACCGCACAGAGCCACAAGGCTCGGCTCTGATCGGGGCAGCCCAACACCGACCTTGGTAGCTATGGCAGAAACCGCTGCTGTGCGCCTCGCCGTGATGACAGAGCCGTCCAGGACCTTTCAAATCAAACAAACAACAGCAGACTGAGACACACAGAACACACCGAGTGCCCGACGCCCGCAGCGAGCCGCGAGCGAGACGCGGTGCACACGGCACCGCGGCCCGCGCCGCAGGGAGCGCGCAGCGGAGCATCCGGGGGGTAGCAGATAACGCGTCGCCCACCATTTATCGACCGCCGGCGCGACAGAATAACTAAAGCCGGCCGTCGCGGCTCCCCGAATCCCCGCCGCCCTCTAAGTGGCCCCGCCCGCACCCCGCAGGACGCACCGCTCGCAGGGAGCCGCAGCGGGGGTCGAAGAGCAGAACGGTGGCCTGATGGGACGGCGCGGCGGAGTCCCCGCAGCGCTCATAGAACGTCACCAGCTTGGTAGTCAGCGCGTCGTCCGCGGCGCTGTATGCGGGCATTACCCCCAGGAACCTTGTGGAGAGAGCGGCTCAGCGACGGTACGGGGCGGCACGGACGGGCGCACCCGCAGCCCCCCACCCCCTTCCTCCCTCCAACAGCCCTGCCCGCTCCGCGCCCGCTCCTCACCCCCCATGTGGCCGCACAGGCACCACGGCTCGCAGCGGCTGCTCCACCCCGCCCGCCGCGCCCGCCGAGAAGTTGCGCAGCGCGGCCTCCAGTCCCGGCAGCAGCAGGCTGGCACGGGGCAGCAGCCGCTCCACCTCCGCAGAGCTGATGAAGACGGGCGGCGCCGAACTCATGGCGAAGAAACAAACTGGCCAAACTCCACGCGCAGCGCCGTGCGGCCGCCCAGAAATACCACCCGGCCGCCCCGCCCCCAACCCCCCCACGGCCCCGCCCTTCCCGGAGCAGTAGAGTCCCGGCGCCGCAGTGCTAGAGTGCCGCGCAGCGTGGGGCACACCGGGAAGGCAGAGTCCTCCCCGCGGACGGCCATCTCGCCCTACTGGCGCGGCGCGGCACCATGAAGCGCTTCCCGCTGTCTGCTCGGTCCCTCGCGGTGAGCGGCGCTCGGGGTGGTGGAGGGGAGCAGGGCAGGGAGGCCGAGGCCGAGGCCGAGGCCGAGGCCGAGGCTGAGGCTGGAGAGCTTGTCTGGTGGCTGCCGGCGGCTGGGCCGGATGGCAGCGCTGAAGGTCGGACGCGGGGCAGCGCGGTGTGGCCGTGGCCGGGTCCCCGGTGCGGCCTGCTCGGCCCCGGGCCGGCTGTACCGCGGGGCCTCGGCTGAGCTGCTGCGATGGGAGCGGCTGCCGGAGCGCCGTGTTTGTGCCGGGCGCCGAACGGCTGCGGAGGAGCAGCGCTGTGCCGCGGCTCACGTGGGGCCGCATCTGCAGCGCCGAGCCGTGCGCTGCGGTCGGGGCCGGGGCGGGCAGAAAGGGGGCACGAAGATGGTGAGAGGACGGGGCGCCTCCGCCGCGAGGATGGGCTGAGAGCTGCGCTGTGCGGCGTGGGGAACGGAAGGCTCCGAGGGGATCCTGCAGCCCTTCCGGGACGTGAAAGGTCTCCGGAAAAGCTGGGGAGAGACTTTTCATAAGGTATGCAGTGACAGGGGAAACGGCTTTAAACTGGAAGAGTAGATTTCGACTAAACGTTAGGAAGACATTCTTTACTGTGAGGTGGAGACACTGGCACAGGCTGCCCGGTGACGCTGTGGATGCCCCCTGCCTGGAAGCACTGCTGGGAGGCCAAGCTGGGTGGGGCTGTGAGCAACCTGGGCTATGGGAGGTGTCCCTGCCTGCAGCAGGGGGTTGGGACGAGATGCTCTGAAAGGTCCCTTCCAACCCAGATTGGTGCTGCTGCCTGGTGCCCGAAGGAGGGCTCTGGTGGTGTCCCCCCCTTCAACTGGAAAACAGATAAGCAGATGTCCTACCTTGAGGCTGAGCTGCTGTACCAGATATGTATCATTGTATTCTTGGTGATCCTTGAGGTCACTTCTAGACTAAGTTCTGTGATTCTGCCCCACAGAACAGATAGGGATTGCAGGGGCTCATTCAGTTAATTCCTGTGTGGTGTTCCTACAGACCACATGGTGCTGGGGAGGTTGGTACTACACAAAGGAAAGCAGAAGGGCACTGTGGTACCGAGGTGCTGCTTTTTGGACTCCCAGAGGCCTCGTTTAAGTCATTGCTTTGAAGTTTCAGCTGTAATGGAAAAGCAATTTGAGGAATTAAAAGAGAATGCATATTTTTGTTCTGTGATCCTGGATTGTTTAATGTATTTCAACTTTAAAATAAGCTGCTTTGTTAGAATGTAGGAATTAACTAACACAGCTGTCACGGAGCTAACTAGATCAATCTGTCCTGTGACGGGGGGCTGTTGGCTCCTGGGCCCCCCAGCCCCACAATATGGGAAGGAAAAGGGAAAAGGGATAGGGAGGTGGGAGCTGGGCTCAAGGAAGAAAAAAACAGCAGCAACGACCTATGGAAGAAAGCTTATTTTACTATGATATCGGAATGCGAGGTAACACAGTATAATGCAATGTAATTGAGATTGAGACTAATAAATAAGATAGGAGAGAGAGAGTTCCTGAGGCCGAGTCAAACTCAAGCACCTCCAGCAGCACTGCCAGGCAGCCAGAGGCCGCCTCCCCGCAAGGGCCGCAGCCCGTGACTTCCGTGACGGAAGGGATGGGCACCAGGAATGGAGCTTCAACACTTTGACTCCCAACATGATGTAATGATGTGGAATACTGGAAACCAAAAAGCACAGAACCGTGACAGCAGCAAACTCCTTTCCTTCTGCTCTCTCCTCCAGAAGAGGCTGTACTCCCTTAAAGTAGCACCGAAAGCGGCGGTGTCAGCGACTGCAGAGCGGCTGAAGCTGTCTGCGGATGTGGAGCATCTGGAGGTCGGTTTCGGCGCGGATATTTCTTTTCTCTTTCCTTTTTTTTTTTTTTTTTTTTTTATAAGTCAGAGCAGAACTGTGGCAGTACGCCCAGTGGCTCAGAAACCCAATGTTGCTTTTAATGCAGATCACAAAATTACCAAACGGATTAATTATTGCATCTCTGGAGAACTTTTCTCCGGTCTCGAGGATCGGTGTGTTCATCAGGGCAGGCAGCAGATATGAAACCACCGCTAACCTGGGAACGGCCCATCTGCTTCGTCTCGCCTCCCCTCTGGTAGGTGGCTGTTCTGTTCCCATGGTTGGTGGTGCAGAGTGGTAGAAGATTCAGGACAGCAGAGAGCAGCGGTGTGTAAGAGCTGTGCCGCACTGCAGGCAGTGCAGACAGCGTTCCTTGCTGGTTGGGGATGCCAGTGCGGGAGAAATGCCGTTGCTTTGTGGCTGTTTGTGAGGAGCTGTGCTCTCTCACACTGTCTCTCACTGCATAGCTGATGTGTCTGTGTCACACCAGGATGGGGCTCATTGCGCTTCAGCTGCGGTAAAAGACTTGGATGTCACACGTCAACTCAGATGTGTATGAGAGATGTTCCCAAATGGCTTTTCTCACAACTCACCAGGGTTGGTGTGAGCTCTGGGGGCAGGGATGTGCCAGCAGATTCAAGAACAAATTATACACGTTCACTGCCAGCAGTCCTTACACGGCTCCAAAGATGGGCAGGCAGAAGGTGTGCACCGAAACCCCCGACACAGCTGCTGCAGGGTTCTGCAGGAGTAGTGCTGGTTGGATTCTGGGTGCTGAGCTCTAGCAGTCTCTTCCGGTGCTGCTGCCAGGAGGACGGTGCTGGGCGCCGTGCTGTGGCTGCTGCCAGCCGTGCTGTGGCTGCTCCCATAGTGTGGCAGGACATGCAGGCTTTCCTTGTCCTGGCGGTGTGAAGTTTATCCAAGTTAAAGAATCCTGTGAAACATTTAGCCAAACCTGGCTCGTTCCCATAGAATGGGGCTGGGGGAACAACAGGGTAATTGTGCTGGGAAATCAGAGAGAGGGATAGAATGGGAATAAGGATGTGGTAAGTGGGCTCAGCTTCTCTGTATGGGCAGTGGTTTCTCTAGGAATGGGTAAGCATGGGCTGCTTCAGCTTTGCTGGAGCACTGACCTGTGTCAGGCAAAGCTGTAATCTTAAGTCTCTTTTTGATTATCATTTCTTCTTTTAATAGACTACAAAAGGAGCGTCCTCTTTCAGGATTACTCGTGGCATCGAAGCTGTTGGGGGCAGCCTAAGGTTTGTAACCTGGCCCGGTGGGAGTAAAGCAGGGTGGCAAAGGAAACCGAAAGCATTACGGTGTGTGGGTGGGTGCGTGCCTGGACGGGAGGGTTGCATAGGAAGCTTCTGTGTTCTGTCTGCCTTCCTTGTCTTGAAGGTGAGACTTACTGAGGTCTGTGGGTATTGTTTTTGTCTTACTTGGGAAATAGATAACACTCCTACTGTAATTCTGTGAACAATTTGGGTGGTAGATGAGTTTCCCAGTTTGGGAGTCCTAAGCCTAGAGAACCCTCCTCGGAGGAATCAGGGCACCTGCGTGCACCAGCTGTGCAGTGAGGTTGTGCTATACAGTGTGGTAGGTTACTCTGCACACTGCTCTTTTTGCTAAGGAAAATAATGCGTTGAGGTGAGGCAGACAGTTTTCTGCCCACTGAGAGCAATTTCTGAATTACTTTGATATTTATACCCATTTTCAGGTTTTACTCTTCAGTCTTGCTGTTTTACCGTGAGTTATCACCATGTCCCAGATTGCCATGGCCCTGATGCAGTCGGTATCACCGGGTGCTTCCCACACCACTGCTAGATGCGTGTTGTGCTGAACAGCCCACGTGCTGTGGGTTGAAATGCTGCTATTCTCCCTCCTTTACACTGGTGCTCCTGTCAGTATCTCGCTGAAAGCTTCCATCGGTAGGGAGCACGTGTGGAAGTCCACATATTTTGTGCTCCCAGCTGAAACCCCTCTGTGTGCCTTGTGTTGCAGCGTGTTCTCAACGAGAGAGAAGATGGCGTACTGCGTGCAGTGCCTGCGTGGCCACCTGTAGGTACCGCCCAGCTCTGTGCACTGCGGGGCTGCTCTCAGCGCGGCAGCAAACAAACCAGCGCGCTGCTGCGCGGCTCCACATTCGTGTCGCCGAGCGCCGCGCTGAAGGGGAATCGCGGTGCCTGCGGCACGGCCGGCTGCTGCGCCGCTCTGGGGGCTTTGCTCGGTGTCGCCGGGTTGTTGTTGGGTTGGTCGGAGCTGCTTTCAACTGCCAAAGAAACACCTGCTGGTTCTCAATGCCTTTCTCGCTGCTTCTCTCCAGTGACACCGTAATGGAGTACCTCCTGAACGTCACCACGGCTCCGGAGTTCAGGCCCTGGGAAGTTGCTGATCTTCAGCCCCAGCTGAAAGTCGACAAAGCGGTCGCGTTTCAGAGCCCTCAAGTCGGTAGGTGTATTTCTGATTTGCTGTGTTGGTGCTGTGGGTGCGTCTTAAAATCAAAGAACTTTGAAAAACTCTTGCCCCGTCCCCTGACCGCTTTACTTTTCAGCCCAGCCCGCCAATAGATACGGCCTTTGTGTTGTTACCTAACTTCTTCATAAGCCCACAAGTTTCTGCAGCCCATATGTGACATATGGCCACTGCTTTTTACTGAAGCCACCCACCCTCCCCCCAGAAATGAATGCAAACCAGGCTGCGTTATACCTTGTCGTGAGGCCAGAAAGTGTTGAGCATCTGTGAGTCCTTGAGAGCTTTTATAAGGTCCAGCTGAATAGGAACACCCAGCCCGGATGTGTTGCTGGATGAAACTTTATTAGTGTGGGGCTGTGGGTCTTGTGAATGAGCGCTGTAAGTGCTCCGCAGCTGGGTTTCACCAGCGTCATGCTGGCATCTATTGCTAATCCTCAGCACTGGAAACTTTGTTCCTGTTAGGACTGC